CAGGTTTGAACCCGCCACCCTTGGTATATGTGGCTGGCACCATAACCACTGTGCTATGGGCGCCGAGCCTCATATTACAATTCTTAGCCATACTAGGAAGCCTATAAACAAAAAGACAAAGAAAATAACAGGTGTTGGCAAGGATATGAGATATTGGAACTGTCACACATTGTTAGTGGAATATAAAATAATACAGGCAGTGTGAAAAACAGTCTAGCAGTTCCTCAAAAGGTTAAACATAGAGTTACCATATGATTCAACAATCCCATTCCTAGGTATCTACAAGAGTATCCCAAAGAGCTGACAACAGGTGTGCAGACAAAAACGTGTACGTGAATGTTCACCACAGCATTATTTACAGTGGTCAAAAGGTAAACAACTCAAATGTCTATCAATGATGGACAAACAGATAAACAAAATGCGATCTATCCATATAAGGGAATGTTTTTTAGCCATAAAAAATGAAGTATTGACACCTGCTACACTGGTGAACCTTGAAAAAATTATGCAGAGTGAAAGAGGCCAGATACAAAAGGACACACATTGTCTGATTTCATTTATATCAAATTTCCAGCACAGGAAAATTCTTAAAGACAGAAAATAGATCAGTGGTTGCACAGGGCTAGAGAGATGAAAGGATTGGCAGATGAAGATTAACGGGTAATAGTTACTTTTGTAGGTGAAGAAATGTTCTAGAATTGTGGTAATAATTGCACAACTCTGTGATTATATTAAAAAGAGTATATTATTTTATATTTTGAGTGAATCCTACAATATGTGACTATCTCAAGAAAGTTTTTTTTATAAAAAATAAAACAAAGATTAAAAAATTAAATAAACTAAAATATTTCGTACATTTGCCCCAGCCACATTTCAAGTGTTCAACAGCCACTACATGTAGCCAGTGGCTGTCATATTGGACAGTGCAGAGAATATTTCCATTGCACACAAAGCCCTATTGGCCAGCCCTGCTCTAGAGGTGAGGTTCTCAAACAGGAGTAATTCTCCTCCCCCAGGGGTATAATGCAATTTCCAAAGATATTTGGAGCAGTCACAACTGACATCTAGTGGGCTAGGGCCGGAGATACTGCTCATCACCTAACAATGCACAGAACAGCTCCCCACACAAAGAAGAATTCTCCAACCCCCTCCCCCCTTGTTAATATAGTGGAGAGTAAAAAGTTGAAAAAAAATTAAAGTAGAATAAAATAGAATTATCTGACCCCAATGTCAAGGTGCTGAAGTTGACAACACCTGCTCTAAATCGATGTGACTCTCTGAGTGTGTCTATGGCTGGTCAAGGCCTTTTGGATGTGAAGACAGACTGCTAAGAATCTGAACAGGTCAGGCTCTGCCATCACATGTGCATTTGGAGAATTTGCAAAATTATTACAACTGTCCAGCAGGTGGCAGTGGAGTAAGTTCTTCTAATAAAGCAGAAGGAAAGGAAGTGTCCTGAGTCCCTTTTCGAAATCCCTGAAGTTCCCTAATGCTTACTGGCTGCCCTGCAGGAGACTGTGAATCCATATTGGCGCCCCCACTTAAGTGTGCATGAGCTTCAGTGATTAGGTCCCAATGTAGGTGTGACCTCACACCAAGGCCATAGTCGGGGCCCAGGTGACCCAGCCTCCCACCAATTCCTTTGCCAACCTACCGAGCTCATCCACAGCATTGACATCAGCGTGGCTGGCAATGAGCTCTTCTACCATGCCCTCCACCGCCAGACGGGCTGCCAAGATCAGTGCCGTCGAGCCATCCGCCATGCGGGCATCCAGGTCTGTGGAACGGTTCCGGATAAGAATCTAGGGGAGACAGAGACAGGAGAGGAGTAATGGCAGGAACAGAGGAGTCTGGAGGACCCATAACTCCCCTGAAGTCCCCAACCCCTATATCCCTGAATTTGATAAGCTTCAGGGAGCAGCTACTTTCCAGATACTGTACTCCAGTATAACCCATTTTCCAACTGAGAGAAATGATCTCTGAGAGGCATCTAAGACTCAAGTGTGGCACGCCTGCCCCAGCTCTGAGGTCCAAAGGGTAGGCCTGTCTTACCTGAAAAACGCCCTGGGCATCGGCAGTGACAGCTGTGTGCAGAGGTGTGCGACCTGAGTGGTCCTGGGCATTTGTGTCCGCCCCAGCATCCAGCAGCCGCTTGGCAGCATCAGCCCGGGCATAGCGGGCAGCCAGGTGCAGGGCAGTCTCACCCGTGCGGTCAGTCCGTGCCCCCAGCTGGGCCCCCTGGCAGATTAGGTCTGAGATGATGCTGGCTGATGTGTCATCTGCCTCATCCTCCTCAGTTGGCATTGGTTCCAGGGACCCCCCACAGAAGGAAGCCAGCATTAGTGGGGTGAAGCCATCTGCAGGGATGAGAGTGTGTCACCAGGGAAATGGGCACAATGGTCTTTCCAGTGAATATTATCAAGAGCATCATTTTAAGGTCAAGTGGGAGATATGAGAGGACAAAAAGGAGTGGACAAGAAGGAACCAAAGGTTTGGTTTCTTTGTCTCCAGCTGGATTAGCACTCTGGGGTGCAACTCATGTTACAGAGTCCCCTGCAGGATCAGGCTCATATAACCCACTGAGAATTTGCCTGAAGTTGCACATTTGCTTGACTTCTTTTCTTCTTTGTCCTGTCTCCCCTACTTCCTAGGTGTCCTGTAATAAATCGCAAACCCAGGTATTGTCATCCTGGGTATGGGTGTGCAAATGGCAGGATTTACCACTCCTTCTTTTCTTTTTTTTTTAAGACAGAGTCTTACTCTGCCGGCCTGGGTAAAATGCTGTGGTGTCATAGCTCACAGTAACCTCAAATTCTTGGGCTCAAGTGATCTCCTTGCCTCAGCCTCCCAAATAGCCGGAACTACAGGCATGTACCACCAAGCCTGGCTAGATTTTCTATTTTTATCAGAGATGGGTCTCACTCTTGCTCAGGCTGGTATGGAACTCCTAAGCCCAAGCAATCCACCCACCTCAGCCTCCCAAAGTGCTAGGATTACAGGTATGAGCCACATCACCCAGCTTCAAAAATTGGCTTTTGACTAAGATGTGGTATACCCTGTAACTTGGTGCAGGGAAGGAATGTACTGATCGCAGGGATAGTCCAAGTCCAACCCATGTAACAGTTATATTTTATAATGTAAATTAATAAATTAAATTTCCAATTAAAAAAAAAAGAGCCATCCCCCAGGGACATAAAATCTCAGGCACTTCCAACCTCAGTAGCCAAAAGGACTTCAAAAGCAAGACATAAGTGCAGGCCATTCAGAGCAAAAACGAAATGAAGCTGGGGCAGGAATATCCTGAAATGTGATAAAGATCAATCTAAGAGGTTCCAGACAACATAGTCTGCCTCACTCTACATGAACATTTGCCCTGATTTTCCTTAGGGAGCCTCTTACACCCCATCCTCCATCCTCAAGTCCTGGGGAGAGAGAGCCCAATCCCCTCCTTGGCTCAAAGACAGGTAAGTGAGCCAGGCCTGGTTAATCTGCATATTCTAGCTTAGGAATGAGCATGTGACCTTACTCTGTCCACTAGAATCCATCCTGAGATTTTCACTGGGGCAGTTGAGGTTTCCTAAGGAGGTAGCCAATGGGCAGAGAGAGAAAGACTGACTCCAGGATCCAAATATGCCTGCTGCTTTCAGGCATAGTAAATTCCATTTTACTTAAGCTAGTTTGAGTTGGGTGTGTGTCATTACAACCAAGAGTCTGGTTAACAAATACCTAAAGAAGTCCTGACACTCCCCAGTTCTCCCCAGAGCAGATTTAGGTATAACCTCTCATAAGAAGGATGGGCATCCTATAGGGTAAGGGGCACCATCACTGACCTGGGCCTCGCACATTGACATCCATGCCATCAGTATCTGCTTCACCCTGTGGTGGTGTCAATGCCATGGCTGGTGCCACCCGGATGTCAGCTGCAACCAGATGGTGTTGAGTCCACTGGCGGCAATCCACAGCCTCCTCAGCTCCCATGCTGGGCTCCTCTACCTGGAAGGAGAGGAACACAGGTTCTCAGATCTCACTCTTTGGAGGTTGGGAGAAACATTCCCAGGGACAGGGCACAGGTTTCTCCCACACAACAACCCTAGGTAATTACTAACAATTAACTGCTTTTATAGATAGAGAAACAGGAAATGGATATGCCAGAGCTTAGGGAGCTACTCAGGGAAAAAATGGGATTTCAATCCAGGTTGGAAGGGAAGGAGAGGCTGGAAACCCAAAGTGAGTGATCCACAAAGAAGTACAAAGTGTGGCACTTGTCAGCACACACACTAGACATGAACACGCCAAAAATGAAATTAAGAGAACAATTCCATTGACAATAGAATCAAGAAAAAGAAAATGTTTAGAATTCATTTAACAAAAGAAGTGGGCTCAGCACCTGTGGCTCAAGTGGCTAGGGCGCCAGCCACATACACTTAAGGTGGTGGGTTCGAATCCAGCCCGGGCCCACCAAACAACAATGACAGCTGCAACCAAAAATAGCCAGGCATTGTGGCAGGCACCTGTAGTCCCAGCTACTTGGGAGGCTGAGTCAGGAGACTCGCTTGAGCCCAGGAGTTGGAGGTTGCTGTGAGCTGTGACGCCACAGCACTCTACCCAGGGTGACAGCTTGAGGCTCTGTCTCAAAAAAAAAAAGAAGTGTAAAACATGAACTCTGAGAACTATAAATCACTGGTAAAAAATGGCTTGTGCCTGTAATCCTAGCACTTTGGGAGGCCAAGGCAGGAGGATTGCTTGAGGACCAGAGTTAGAGGTTGCAGTGAGCTGTGATGAGGTCACTGCAACTCCAGCCTAAGCAACAGAGCAAGACCTTGTCTCTTAAAAAAGAAGTTTTTTAGGCCAGGTGTGGTGGCTCATGCCTATTATCCTAGCACTCTGGAAGCCGAGGTGGGTGGATTACCTGAGCTCACGGGTTCAAAACCAGCCTGAGCCAGAGCAGGACCTCATCTCTTAAAAAAAAAAATTAGCCAGGTGTTGTGCCAAGTGCCTACAGTTCTAGCTACTTGGGAGGCTGAGACAAGAGAATTGCTTGAGCCCAAGAGTTTGAGGTTGCTGTGAGCTGTGACACCACAGCACACTATCAAGGGCAACAAAGTGAGAATCTGTTTCAAAAAAAAAAAAAAATGCAGTTTTTTAAAAATTAGTCTGCAATGGCTTGTGCCTTTAGTCCCACCAAGGTTAAGGCAGAAAGATTGAACTCCTCCTAAGCCGAGGAGTTCAAGACTGCAGTGAGTTATGACTGTGCCACTGCATGCCAACCTAGGATAGTGCAGCAAAACCTCATCTCTAAATATATATATACATATACACACATGTGTGTATATGTATATATATATATATACACACACGTGTGTATATGTATATGTATATATACATATACATATATATATGTTTAAATTTTAGATCTTTTTCTTTGTAGCCCAGGGAGGAACCCGGGGCCACAAGTGTGTTTGAAGTATCCATGATCATGTGTCCTGCAAATTTTAAAAAATTTTAAAGGGGCTCGGCGCCTATAGCTCAACCGGCTAAGGCGCCAGCCACGTACACCTAAGGTGGCGGGTTCGAATCCCCAGCCCGGACCCGCCAAACAACAATGACGGCTGCAACCAAAAAAATGGCCGGGCGTTGTGGCGGGCGCCTGTGGTCCCAGCTACTTGGGAGGCGGAGGCAGGAGACTCGCTTGAGCCCAGGAGTTGGAGGTTGCTGTGAGCTGTAATGCCACGGCACTCTGCCCAGGGGGACAGCTTGAGGCTCTGTCTCAAAAAAAAAAAAAAAAAAAAATTTTAAAGGAAACACGGGGGCAGAAAGGGGTTCCTTCAAGAACCAGTATTAACCTGGAAAGAGGAGACTGGATGGAAGAGCAGAAAAAGGAAGAGACACCCAGGATCCCACAATCAGGAACTCACATGGACCTCTAACCTGGTAGCCAAACATGAGCAGGACCAAACACTCACATGCAAACCTATATTTACCTTCACAAGCACCTGGGCCTATAGCAGGAGTTTGATCAATTTCAGATTCATAGTTGAAAAGGCACAAGAGACATTATGGAAATAGGATAGAATACTCTTAGCTAGCCTACCTAAGGATTTGAGAGCTTTGGGACCCCACAGATTCTAGTCAAGTGAGATCTGATCTTAAGGACCCAGGAAGGGAAGTTGAGCTTCATGAAATTGACTAGGTGATGCACAGAGAAAAAGAAAGAGTCAAAGAAAATGGGATGGGACAGCACGTGATGCAGGGTCAAGTTCCAACCCTACCCCTTAGTAGCTGGGCAAATCACATCACAGCAAGCTTCTCATTGGCAAAATCAAGATAGCATCATTACACAATGCTAAGGTATAGTCAAAGCACACGGACCAACCCTTAAAACTTACTTTGGGACAGAGATCAAAAAAAGTCTAGACCCAACAGATTCCTTTAGCTGTCAATAGTAATCGATGACAGCTCCTTTTCATAAACATTAAAGGGCAGACAAAAAGCAGTTGTAAATTGAAGTACATGTCAATAGTTACCCTTACTTCATAGGGTCCTCAAAAAGATAAAATAAGTTGCTTTGGGTGTATTAGAGACAATCAGTGGATGCCCAGGTAATGCTAGTAGGAGCCTGTTATAGACTGAATTGTGCTCCCTCTAAAAATCTTATATTGAAACTCTAACCTTCCAAGAGACAGTATTTGGAGATAGAGCCTTTCAGGAGGCAATTAAGGTTAAATGAAGTCATAAAGATGGAGCCATAAGCCAATAAAACTGGTGTCAAATACAATATACTTATACATATATGCTTATAAGAAGAAAGACAGCAGATGTCTCTCTCTCCCCCGCCCCATATACAGAAGAAAGGCCATGTGAGGATACAGTGAGAATGTGGCTGTCTGCAAACCAGGTAGAGAGTCCTCACCAGGAGCCAATCCTGACAGCACTTTGATCTTGGACTTAAGCCACCCCAGTCAGTAGAATTCTGTTATGGCAACCCGAGCTGACTAATATGGAGCCCATGGGTGTGGCTCCAAGATATGAAATGGTATTCAGGACCAGCTGGGAGCACTCTCAGGCTGAGCATGCTGGACAAAGTTGGAACCAACAGAGAGAAAGCAGATTTGCTCTTTCTGGGTCATGGGTTCTCCTCTAGGAAGACCCCAGGTTTATCTAGGAGCAGAAGCCTGGTTGGGGAGAGGCAGGATGAAATTGGAGAACTTCTACCCAACCCCAGAGACCCCAGTGGCAAATCTCCTTCCTTTGAGGCCACAGAGCCAAGCCAAGGAGAAAACAAGATCACAAAACTGTGACTATTTTCTAAATCCTGGGAGGTGGGGAGAGTAGACTTTCCTGAGCTCTCCCACTGACCGGTGGGGTCCCCACCCAGGATCCTGAGGGCAAGGGTCTGAGGAGGGGCAGCACCTTCAGTCGCTTGGCCTCTGGGCACTCAGTATCCATCCAGTCTGTGGCCACCTCCCCCATCAGACTCTCGCCCTTGGCCATGTTCCTGTGGGGACAGTGAGAAGGGAGGATGTGAGAAGAGACACTGCAGGTGTCTAGACTGAAAGCAGGACTTCAGATGGAGTCAGGGCAGAAGCTGAAGAGGCAAGTTTAGAGGTCTGGAGTTGGGATCAGGGGTCTCAGGTCAGTAGACTGAGGGAGCAGAGTCAAGACACAGGTCCAGTGAGGGGATTCGGTAAGGGGTTGAGAAGTCATAGTCAGGGTTTATGGCAGGTAACAGCCAGGGTCTTGGATGGAATTGGAGAAGAAACAGGAGTGGAGTCAGGGGTCTAAACAGTGGGCTGGCTATGGGGTGAGTATCCAACACATACAGCAGGGATTATAGAGGATGATGTCAGAGGTCATGGAGAATAGAGTTAGTCTTATAACAGAGTTAGCCTGGGAGAGACAGCCAGGATTGAAAAGGTTGTGGTTGGGGTCAGCGGTCATGGGGTCACAGAGGAAGCTTAAATTCAGGATGGGACTGTGGTCTTCAGGGACAGGTAAAATTGGAAGTCAGATCCAGAGTCAAGCCCAGGATTGAGGAGCATGGGAAATTAATGCTGAATTGGGGTGGAAAGGGGGTCAGAGTTGAGGTCAAAGGTGAGGGTGGGTTGGAGCCAGAAGTAGTATTGGGGGACCTAGAGGATAGAGTCAGGGGGTCAGGGAGGAGCCAGTACAGACAGGGGTCATAGAATCAGCAGTCATGTGGGAACAAATCAGGGTAAAGCCTAAGTGTCTAGGTTAAGGGTGAGATCAGGGTAGGATTTTAGTCAAGAGAAATAAGTGATAGAAAATAAAGTCAGGTTCAAGGGTCAGAGGTCAAGGGACTGAATGCTGGGGTCCAGTATGGAATCTGAAGTTAGGGGTCAAGTCGGGGTCCAAAAGCCAGGTCAAGGTGGGGTCCAGGGCTCAAGAGGTCCCCACGGTAGGGGACAGAGTGAATGGACAGGGTTCTCACTTCATGCCCAGCGCATCTTGGCCTACAGGCTCTCGCCGGCCTTTGTGGCCAGAGGCCAAGTCTTTGTGCAGCGCAAAGCCCTCAGGGAACCAGAGTGTGCTGTGCTCGCGCTTGCGCCGAGCCACCATGACGCCCAAGACGAGGATGACCAGCAGGAAGACAGCGCCTGCTACCAGCAGGGGCAGAAACGGCACGCTTGGCTCTGGAGGCTCTAGAGGCTCCCCTGTGGGCAGAAAGCAGAGGGTAAGACTTCAGCCTCTGAAGTGGTGCTTCAGCCAAGGCAGGGCTTTCAACCAAGGTACGGATGAGGCTTCAGCCACAGGGTAGGGCTTCTGTCATAAGAGTAGGACTTCAGCCACTGGGTGGGACCTCAACCACCCCTCCTCTGGTACTAGCATTTCTGCCCTCATCACCCTCGGGGCCAGGCTGCACCTCGCACATCCCGCAGTGGGTATGGGAAGTCAAGGCGCTCCACCGCGGACAGTGCTCCCAGGTAGTCAGCTGCACTTTGGGCATCAGGAAAGCAGTGGTCATTCTCGGAGGACTGCAGGCAGAGTCGGTTGTCAATCTCCAACATCACTACAGAGCTGTGGTGACAGCAGGGAGGGACCAGAGGGCTCAACAGTTGCCTAATACACTCCCTGGCACCAACAATCACCCTCCCTCCCACATGGCTTAGAAGAGCCATCTCCACCCACCGTATCGCCATGGTCCACCTGGCTTCCAGCTGATGTCCAACCAAATGTACCCCCAAACCTGTCTTTTGGCCAGCAGTCACCCCCAAGCCAGAAATCCAATGGACATTGTTTTTACATCAACATCTCAAGTAACTTTCTTCACCCGCTCTAGTGGTGCTGTTGCTGCAGCCCTCTGCTGGGCTGCTGCATTCACATCCCAGCTACTGTAAATGTTGGCTTCTGTCAGAAGTGGCTGACAGTTGCTGCTTCTCTGGATGACACACAGTGGGTGCCAAAAGTCATGGTGCTCAGCAAGATGGGGACTGCCCCACTTGGGAGGTGACAGACACACCGTAAGGCATCCTGCAGCCAGTGACTAGCTGACATGCAAGGTACAAAATCCAGAAACCAACTCTGAGGTGCTATTACACTCCAGGGAGATCAGACTTGGGCCAGCTTCTAGCTGGGGCTACTTCCTTCCTTAGTTATCCGCTTAGTTATACCCTGTTGCCTCACTACTCTTTTTCTTCTGAGAGCAACCCCCCTCAAATACATCACATGGACCTGAATCCCCATCTCAGACTTTGCTTCCAGGAACCCAACTTATGACCCCTCACTTTCTCCACATTCCCTCCTTCATCTGCCTTTACTGGGATCACATTACCCTGATATTCAATATCTCTCTCTCTATTCTTTCTCTTTCTTCTTTCTTTTTCTTTTCTTTTCTTTTTTTCCTTGAGATGAGTTCTCACTCTGTCACCCAGGCTGGAATGCAGTGGCCTCATCATAGCTCACTGTACCCTCAAATTCTTGGGCTCAAGCTATCCTCCCAATTTTTCTTATTTCTGCTTCAATTCCTAGCTACCTCCTGGAAGGGTCTTCCTGATATCTCCAGATCCCTCACATTCTGCAAGCCCCAAAGCGACCCTGGTTTTTCACCCTATGCCCTATCACTCAGGCATCCCAGCCAGGAGCTGGTACCTCAGCCACCCTCCTCCGTCCCTCCACTCTTGCCCTCCCCTCTCCCACACCCCAATATCTCTAAAACCCAGCTCTTTTCTCTGTGTTAAGGTCACATCCTTCTCAGGTCTCTCTCTCTCCTCTACAACAGCCACACCTCCCTCGTGCCCTTCTGGTCTTCTACTAGGCCATGGGCAGGATAATTTTACATTTTGCATTTCTTCTGGGTTTGGAAAAGGGGTGGTTGTTGTCATTTTGGTTTTGATTTTATTTTTGTTTTGTTTTTTTAGTTTTTCTGGGTTATGTTGCCCAGGCTAGATTCTTGGACTCAAGTATCAAGTGATCCTCCCATCTCAGTCTCCCCAATAGCTGGAACTACTGGGTCCCACCACCACAGCTGGCTCTATTTTCCATTTGTAGTCCACAGCTACTCTAGAGGCTGAGGCAGGAAGATGACTTGAACCAAGGAGTTTGACGTTGCTGTGAGCTAGGCTGACGCCACAGCACTCTAGCCTGAAGCAACAGAGTGAGACTCTAACTAAATAAATACATACAAAAAAGAAACCAAAAACTAAAAAATCATCCTTACACATGACTTTAACCACTGCCAAACTACCTCCCTCTCCAGAAGGAGGCAGCACTAGACCTGGGCAATTCGGTCCCTCTAACAGGCCCCTTCACCTCTGGTGAGAGGCTTCAGCCAAGGCGGGGCTTTCAACCATGGGGCGTGGCTTCAGCCACAGTGTAAGGCCTCAACCAAAGGACCGAGTTCAAACACTGGGTAAGCTTGCGGGTATCTAAAAGCGTTGTTGGTTGTTGGTTGTCACAACTAGGGGGCGGTGCTACTGGCATCTAGCAGGTAAGCGAGTTAAAGAGAAGTGATACACACAAGACCTGGATCACTGTGAGCCGCCTGCCGCGGCCCCAATGGTTCCTCTGGCCTCCCCAGGTGGAGTTACTCACCCAATAACTTCAGGAGCCAGTTCCCGACGGCTTCGGGGTTCGGAGTCAGGACTGGGCCGGTGGTAAGGGAAGACCATGGCCTGGCCATGGGCATCCAGGCGGAAGCGCAGAGAGGTGCGCAGGATGGCACTGAGCCGCTGCAAGAAGTCCGCGCTGGAGCGCAGCAGCTGCTCCGGGGGCAGCAGCACAGTGAGCACCAGCACACCCCGGGCCAGCAGTGCTGGCACCTCGCTGGCACAGTCCAGCCCATCCCAGCCGCACTCCTCGGTGTTGCAGCCCTGGTCACAGCGGCCATCGGCAAAGTGGTCGGCGCAGTACTTCTCGTACACAGGGCTGGGGGCAGAGAGGGCCTGGGTCAGAGAGGCCCCATTCCCCCTCATCTCCGCCACACACACACACACACACACACACACCCCATAGAGCATGAGACTCCGAACAATGCTTGCAATAGGCAGTAGAATGTACTGGACATTGCCAAGCTTTCTGCAAATCCAGTCATTTACTGGCAAACTATAATAAACCAATAATATTAACTGCCTGCCATGTGCCAGGCACTGCTGTAGGCACCAAGAATGTGGCCCAGCCACAAATCCCTGCTCAGGTGGAGTTGGTATTCCAGCACATGGAAACAGACATTAAAGAAGATAAAGGGGGCGGTGCCTATGGCTAAGTGGGTAGGGCGCCCGCCCCATATACCCAGGGTGGTGAGTTTGAACCCAGCCCCGGCCAAACTGCAACAAAAAATAGCCGGGCATTCTGGCAGGCACCTGTAGTCCCAGCTACTTGGGAGGCTGAGGCAAGAGAATCGCCTAAGCCCAGGAGTTGGAGGTTTCTCTGCGCTGTGACACCAGGCACTCTACCAAGGGCGACAAAATGAAATTCTCTCTCAAAGAAAAAATAAAAAATAAAAAAATGGGCAGCGCCTGTGGCTCAGTGGGTAGGGCACTGGCCCCATATACCCAAGGTGGTGGGTTCAAACCCGGCCCCAGCCAACCTGCAAAAAAACTCAGGAGGCTGAGGCAGGAGAATCACCTAAGCCCAGGATTGGAGGTTGCTGTGAGCTGTGTGATGTCACGGCACTCTACCGAGGGCGATAAAGTGAGACTCCGTCTCTACAAAAAAAGAAAAAAGGAAAAGGAAAAAAAAAGAAGATAAATGAGCAGAATACACAGCATTTCAATATATGCTAAATACAAACATACACACACAGTGCTAAAAGGAATTAAGAGCTAAGGGGAAAAATCAAACACAGAAAGTGCCAGGGGTGACCAGGGAGGAGCTCACTGAGAAGGTGCCACCTTTTAAGCAAAGACTCGAAGGAGGTGAGAGAGGAGTCATGTGGCTTCCTGAGGGAGGAGTTTTCCAGGCAGTGGGAACAGCCAGTGCAAAGGCCCTGAGGTGGGACCAAACCTGAAGAACAGCAGAGAGGCTAAGGTGGCTGGAGCAGAGTAAGCAAGAGAGAGTAGGGGCAGTGAAGATGGTATAAAAGGGAGGAAAGGGCTGCAGAAGGACAGAGGGTTACACATAGGGACAGAAGGACTAGAGCAGAAGAATGGACATACAAACTACATGTCCATGTACATACAGCTCATGGATAGAGAGGGACAGAAAAGCAGTATGAATAGATAGGCAAGGCATGTGCAGATGGAAGCCATATTGGGCGCAAAATGGGTGTACGGATGGACAGAGAGGCACACAGATGAACAGGTGGGGCACAAGGATGGATAGACAGCCAGGCAGAGTGGACATACAGACAAACGGATGGACAGATGAGGTCTAAGGATGGACAAACAGGGGTGCAGGCATAAAAGAATTAAAAAAAAAATTCACGACGGACAGAAACACAAGCAGACCATAGAGAGGCACAAATGGAGTACATAGGCAGACAGAAAAACAGGCATGGCACATAGATGGGCAGACAGATGGACAGACAGACACGAAGGCTCGCTAATGGAGAGGCAGGGCACATGGGAGCAGCAGACGGAGTGGACCGAGAAACAGACGGGGCAGATGAAAGGGCAGCTCAACAGACAGTCCAAGATAGGCTGACAGACTAGAGAGAAAGGATGCACAGACGATATTCGGATGGACCAGCTCACTTGCAAGCACGCTCGCGGCCACCTGCGTGGCAGTCAAAGTTGTCGTAGAGGCAGGCTGGCGAGCTGCAGGCCGGGTCGCAGCGACTGTTGTTGAAGAGGCGCCAACACTGCAGCGCCTCGCACTGCCGCCAGGGGTCACCTACACTCAGCGAGCAGTCGCCGCCATCCCAGCCACAGCCTGGGCTGTTGCATTCCCGGTCGCAGCGCTTGTCCCCGCGCTTGGCCTGGCAGGTGGAGCGCGGGCACCGCGGCTCCTCAGAGACCTCAGGCTCTGCGGCAGGAGCCTCACAGCGCGGCCCGGTCCATCCTGGAGCGCACGTACACCGGAAGAAGGGCACGTGTGGTGTAGGGTGGCAGGAGCCCCCATGGAGACAGGGGGCTGCAGCGCAGCTGGCGTTGCTGGCCCCAGGCGGCGACCCCCGGGAGCCACGGCAGGAGGGCCCGGACAACCCTGGGGGGCAGGCGCAGCGCGGCCCGCGGGCAGTCTGCTGGCATGGGACGCCCACGGGGCACTGCAGCTCTCGGCAGGAGCGCGCCACTCGCTCGCAACGCGGACCCCAGAATGGCTGGGGGTAGGATATGGGAACAAAATATAGAGGGAGGGGAAGAGGAGGAAAAGAATAAAAGAAATGGAAGAGTGGAGAAAGAGAAGCAAGGATGGAGAGCGAGAGACGGAAGAGTGAGGGGTCAACACTTGGGAAGATCGAGCCCCCAACTTTCCCATGTCCCTCCCTACCTCTCTCCTTTACACTGGAGGCCCCACCTGGCAGATAAGCCCCGCCTTCCCTGGGAGGCCACGCCGCCAAATGCCAAACTCATCCTCTTTCCCCTCAAACCTCTGCGTAATTACGGCATTTCCCAGAAAACCCCTCCCATTCTACCTCTTCCCCTCTAAAGCTATACCCTCGCCCTGGGCGACGGCCCCACTCCTCCCCTTGATGGCGCTACCCACACCTACTGGAACACAGTGGCAGGCAAAGGTCAGCCCACCCCCAGCGCCTGGGCTGGGTCGGCACTGGCCTCCATGCTGGCATGGTTGGGACTCGCAGGGAGACAGGACGGTCTGACAGCGGGGACCTGATCAGGGAGTAGCAGGTGGATCAATCACAATGGAAGACCGGCAGAGTCCCAGCCATCCCCTTCTCCCAGGCTTACCTGTGAAGCCTGAATGGCAAAGGCAGTGGAAACTCCCACCTGGGTCCTGAAGGCAGTCCCGGGTGTGTGCTGCATGGCAGCCACCTGAGCGGCACTCATTGATGTCCGCCTCACAGCGCAAACCGGTGTATCCCGGGGGGCAGGTGCAGCGGAAGCCTCCCACCAGGTCCACGCAGGTGCCATTGTGTAGGCACTGGGGACCTGAGTGCAGGAGTAGGCCTGGGCCACAGTCATCCTCATTAATCTCACAGAGCACGCCTGGGGCAAGGAGAGGAGGAATTATCAGGAAGGGATGAAGATTGGGGATCCTATCCTGTCTCCCAACCTTGGTCCTGACATACCCAGTGTCCCAGGAGGACAAGAGCAGAGATAGCGGGCCACGAGGTCAATGCAGGAGCCCCCATGCTGGCAGGGCTGGGAGGCACACTCGTCCACATCGTCCTCACAGTCATCACCAGCGTAGCCAGCCAGACACTTTAGTGAGATGAGAAAGGAATCCATTCAGTCCAGAGGGACACAGACACACCTGGACACACCCCATGAAGACATGGAGAACCGCAGCATAAAAGGATACACACAGACATCCAAAACACAAAGACATCCCCAGTATGCAGAAGACATGAACCCAGACACACCAAGTGCCAAGGGACACACACAGGAAAACACCAGATACCCCTAAGACACATAGGACCAGAGATGCACACTCAGACACACAGAGAGACACATATAGATATGCCTAGGAAATAACAGAAGACACGGGCACACAAGATACACCCAAAGTGACAGCCATAAAGATATATCCAGACTAACAAAAGCAAAACCCCGGACACATGTCTAGAGACGTACCCACAGACACACAGAAACATGTGCCCAGACACATCTAAGCATGAAAATCTCCTCTTCCCTCTCCCAGGGGGCACCCCCTTACCTCACACACATAGCCCCCCATGTAGCCACGGCAGGTGCCCCCATGCTGGCAGGGCTGAGCCAAACAAGGGTCCAATTCCTGCTCACAGTGGCTACCTGTACGTCCCTCTGGGCACACGCAGTAGTGGGAGCTGTCCTCATCCACGCACTGCCCACCCGCCTGACACAGCTGTTCCAACCGCACCCCTGCAAAGAGGTGAGGGGCATCAGATACAGAGGCAGCCACACATCCTTGCTCCCTTCTGCCTGCATCATGCACAACATTACCCACCATCCCTACTGGCACCAGTCCCCAGGGCTTCACCCACACTCCATTGGGTTGACACACATGCCCCCAGCTGGCAGAACCTCAGCCACTGACACAAACATAAACTTGATGTTTACAGTGGCTCAGTCACACACTGCATCACAGGCACCTGTCTCATGGTGACAGACCCACATACACTATCCTGGTTGCCAGTTGTCACATAGTCACACACACTCAGCCACAAACCTCACCACATGCATATGCTCAGTAGCACCCTTAGGCAGTTCACACTTAAGGAGGTGACTTACATGCACACACCCCTCCCTCATACCCCACCCTCATGCACTTCCCTCACCCCCTCACCAATTTGGGCTGCAGCCTCCCTGCAGGGCAGACTTCGGGTGTCACAGAGGCGGCCGTTCCATCCCGGAGGGCAAAGGCAATAGGCCCCGGTCTGAACACAGCGACCCCCGTTCTGGCAGGGCATGCTACTGCACCAGTCCACCAGCGTCTAGAGGGGGAGCCCTTGGTGGCATCAGGGCTTGGCTCCCCAGCTTACTTCTCCTCCAAGATCCCAGGTAGGCCTTGCCCCCAGAACATCCCTCCAGGCTCCTCTCCCAGAGCCCCCCGTTCCCCCCACCTACCTGGCACTGGGGGCCGGTGAAGCCCTCTGGGCAGGCACAGCGGAAGCCAGGGTAAGCAGTGCTGCAGACACCCCCATGCAGGCAGGGCCGTGAGAGGCACAAGTCGGCCTCGTGGTGGCAGTGGGCTCCGGTGTAGCCGGGACGGCATAGGCAGCTGAACGAGTTCACACCATCCACACAGGTCCCGCCATTAAAGCAGGAGCTGGGTGGCGGAGAGAAAATGTACCACGGAGGAGAGAAGGTGGGGTCAGTTTCTGCCCCCTCGCAGCTCCCACTCTGGCTCACCCTTCTTAGTCCTTGTAGCTTTGGGGCCCTCCCACTCTCTGACCCTTACCCCCAGGAGAAGCTACGTCCCAAACAGAGGCCCTGCCCTGTCCCTTACTCCCAATTCACCAGGTACTTTAGCACTTAGGTGGGAACCAAGTGGAAATTCCATCCCCTCAAGGACCAACGTCTCTAAAGTGACATCCAAGCCCCATCTGTCATCAGAGTCCTAAAGTGGCTACCAAACCAGGGATGATGCCCTATTCCCTTGTCCCCATTCTTTCCCAGACCCCATGCCCTATTCAAAGCCACAGTAGCTGAGTTAAGAATAGAGGGCCTGCCCACCTCGGGCTGCAGTCAGGTAAGTCCTGCTCGCAATGGAGGCCTCCATAGCCTGGAGGGCAGGAGCAGGTGAAGGAGGCCACATGGTCAGTACACGTGCCTGGGCCACAGGGGTTGCTAAGACATTCATCCACGTCATGAGCACAACGCAGGCCAGCAAAACCAGGGAGGCAGGAGCACAAGAAGGAGCCCACACCATCCTGACATGAGCCACCATTCAGGCACGGATCTGTGGGCAGGAGGAAGGGGGTCTTATCACCTACTTTGCCATCAGCCTGTGCCCACTGGGATATGTGCTGCATAAAGTAGAACTAAAGAGGAAATCAGGTTCAATTGGGAGGAGGCATGTTTTGTCAGAGGAATCAAATTCTGTCCTCTCCTGTAGCCTTGTCCCCTCCCTTATCTGGAAACCTCACTTTTGTGGAAGAAAACTGTTGGGAGAACAAAGATGTCCCTTTGAGCTACAAAGAATATCCTGCTAATTGTGCCCCCTCTAATTCCTGGGCTAAGCACAGGCCTGTGCTGGCCAGAACAGTGGCCACTAGCCATAGGTGACTATCGAGCCCTTGAAATTGTGACAGAATTGTGGCTGGTCATGGTGGCACATGCCTGTGGTCCCAGCTGCTAGGATGGCTGTGATGGAAGGCCACAAGTTAGAGGCTGCAGTCAGCTATGATGGTGCCATTGCACTCCAACCCCGGGGGGTACAGGGCAACACCCTATCTCTAAAGAAATGAAATATTTTAAAAATTTTTTTTAATTTCATTAATAATGTTATATTGATTACATGTTAAAATGATTTTTTTTTTTTTTTT